TCCATGAAGCAGCTCTGTTGTCCTCCATCCATATTTTCAGTTACAGGCTGAGTCATTTCTACCTTCTCCTCTCTGTCAACGCTCTCTGGTTTCATTTAAAAGATTGTCAGATTTTGTCTAAGATTAACCTTCAGGGTGGATATAGCTCGCTAGCAGCCTCACACTAATGACCTATCCATGTCATCATTTACCCAGAATGCTTTGTGTGTAAATAAAATGGCTCTGTCTGTGTAATATATTTTTAAACTTTTAGTTTAAAATTCATAAAAACTAAACAGCCTACAGTATTTTTAGTCTTTATTTTACAGTTAAAATATATGTTTATCAAATAAAGTCTAATGTTACAACTAATCAGGGATCCCTTTAATAATTTTGTATAAATGAATCCAAAGAAATGAAAAAATATACAATAGCATTGAGTACAATAAATCTTTATATATATATATATATATATATATATATTGTTGTTTATGTTCACCCTGCTAACTTTTTTCTATGTTGTTTTAAGCAGCGTAGCATTATGTATCACTACTTTTTTAGTTTTATCCCAGCAGTCAACAGGAGAAGCAGGGAACAGCATAAATCACCAATTGACAAAACATACATTTTTAGGCTTCAAGAAGAAATCAGAGTATCCAGATAAAAACCCACGCATACACAGGGTAAACACTCCTTCTAGAAAGACCCCAGTGAAAATGGATAATTAATACACCACCAAGCATCTCCAACAATAAATAATTTGTTAAGATGGCATATTTTAAGTATTTTCAAGTAGAAATACCTGCGAATAAAATGTGACAAGACATTTAAAAATGTCCATGAGTTTTTCCTAAATGGGGACCAGTAAATTTTGATTAAATTGAAACATTTCAGTGATTTTACAGCTGCATAAAAGAAGCTTATTAAATGAAACTATACTAACTTTACTATTTTACTTGCCTTATAATAACTGTCATTTAGAGTGCTGCAGCCCTTTTCCCAAACGTCTCTACTTTTCAGTGTTGTGAAGCACAGAGGGAGGTCCGATAACTCCAAGTGCAGAATTGCTTTTCCTCCACCAGGTACATATTCTGCGCTCCTTTCAACACCATTGGCTTTTATATTACAAATTAAGCAAGGTCAGCTTGACTCGTCACCATAGAGACAAGGTTACTCTGGGGAAATGATTGAGTATTGATCCATATCTCAAATATGTGTCTGTGAATGTGCTCTTTATGAGGTGAAACAGATTTCATTCCCACAGCACATCCAGCAATTTACTCATGAACAGAACTAAAAGCTTTTATATTACTTTTTTTACACCCTACCAGTTGTGTTTTCTCCATCAGATTTTTCCAACATTCATATGTAATAGATCAAAATGCTTGTTGGGATTGGGTGACTTTCGCAATTTATGATGATCCTGCTTAAAAAATAATACCGTATCAGCCTCAGGAAACATTTTTTTTCCTCCTGTTTTTATCGTCATTCATTCCATCCAACCATATCCTTTCGAGCTTTCAGATGACAAGCACACAGGATGAGTTTCTGCTCACTCTATGCCTCACAAAAGCTTTAAAATACTCAGGTGGGAGGACTGAATACTCCTCACTGGCTTCCTCCTGGACTGGGTGGCTAATGTAGAGCCAAAACTGCAAGCACTGCAGCATACAAGGAAGAAAAAAAAGGGAAACAAAAAAGCAGGGGGGATATGGTCAGTAAGAAAGACAAAAAGGAAGTTGCTGGGCTGTAAACTTGTCGATTCTGAGCCCATTCCTGTGGTGGAGCCATCTGCTGAGGGAACAGTAAGGACGGTCAGAAGTGCAAACCTTAAGCCAGGAGCCACATTTACAAATTTATTGTGGAAATAAAACCACTGAAAGCCCAACTTGACTCCTAGCAGCAAAAAAAACTGGGCTTCCAGCACGAAACAATACAAACCTACTGGATATTTCTAACTTTGCTACACTGTAAATGCTTAAAGTGGCAAACCCTCGATCAGTTTCACAGACATGAATTCATCTTCATTTCTCCAAACTGAGGTTGTTCAAAAAACTGTCTATAACAGTTCAGACATTAATTGTTCATAACTTTTTCACAAAAACCTACATCTAAAGATCTGAACTATTAGTTTTAATTGGAGCTTATGCAAAAATAAATATTCAATATGATTTATAAAGGGGAGAAATTACAGGTCAAACAGCTTTAAAGCAGTGTACATTAGCTTAAATGAGCTGGAAATGATTCTCTCATCAGAACATGAGTGACAGCTGACATAAGCTGTGAGCAAGAGTCAAAATTTCACTTGTTAATTTGACAGCGTGCAGCAGCGGTGATGAAWTGCCTTGTCTACTGCATAATCTTTTGGCTGCCTTTAATTTTGACCTTTACTTGGGWTTGAATGCTGCTGTAAAATACAGTAAAGACAGAGAATGCGGATCAGCCTCTATTTCTATTCTTCACCGTGGCATTTTTAGCAACACATACAGCTCTCTTCCCACAATCTCTCTCCTTAGTTTCCTCTACTGTCACATATTCTCCTCTCTCCTGCCTTTGCAGCTCACCGTCTCCTCATTTCTTCCCTTCTCTTTCTAACTGCATCTCCTATCCTGGAGGGGAAAAACTGCTTCGCTAATGACATGTGCAGGCTGTGAGTTGCAGAGCAGGATGTTAATGTTGCGTGAGTGTGACACTGTTTAAAAGGAGTTGTTATTCTCAAGATTCCTTCCAGCTCCAGTGTGAACATGCACCAATACACAAGTGTTATTTGTGCACTGCTGTGATGCCACTGCCTCACACATTTTGCAGATGACTGAAGCCCCTTTGTTCAAAAAGTAGGCACAGAGTGACCCCTGCTGTTGGACAGTGTGAAAGACTCTGACTACAGATGGCTCAGAACATGATTCAAATACTTCAAATTATGACACAAAAAAACTTAATGCCACATGAAAGCATTGAGAACCTAAAGTTGGCATTATACACTGCTTTAAAGCCTGCATTTTACATCACTTTCAGCAACACTCCAAGACACAAAAAACCATTTGAAGTCCACCTGTACCTCTGTAAATCAGAAAACAGAGCCAAAAACTCAAAAACCTTGTAGACTTGTTAATCTGCACATTCAAACATAGTTAGGTGAAATAAAAACTAAGGATATGCATTTTTTTACAACCCTACCCTTACTTTATCATCACAGTGAGAAGAATGTTGTCAAGCAAAAGATGAGCAAAACTAGAACCATTTCAATCGGGGGGGGGCTCATGTTATGGTGCACCTTTCTTGAAAGCGTCAAAACTGGACGTTGTTTAGATCAAGTGGTTCTTTATTATTAAATGTTTTTGAGTCCAAAACCTTGTATATTCAGGCAGCATTCAATTCTCAGATATTAAAAATGAGATCTGGGATGATTTCTGGTTAAATACATAATGGTTGATAAATTGAAACAAAAATACCTACAATTTTACACCCAATCTCTCAAGTCTACCCCCACAGCTTGATAAATTGTCCTTATGAGAGCATGAACTGTCCATCTTACTTGCCTCTACATGGCTCTGTAATGGATCTGTATGCAGATTCTCAACCAGTGACTGCTGGTGAGAAACACCAGCTTTCCATRACCCAGGAACTAGCAGGTAAAACAAAAAAAGTAATGGATAGATCTTGCATTATAAAAACATTCATGCTGTGTTTATGTGGCTTGCTACAGGCTGATTGATACTTTTCATGATTTGGTCCATTTTGTTTTAAATTCCCATGAGGGAGTAAAAAACATTACTTGCATGATGACTTTGCAGTCCACGATACCAGGAACTATAAGCTTCTGAAACTTTCTTCACAGGCACCTGGTCTGGAAAAGTCCATGTGAAATCTGGTATGCCCAGCAGGAGATCAGGTTGTGCATTGTATTTTTTTTCCCGAAGATGAGAATAATTGCCATTATTTATTGTTACTCCATTCAGAAATCATGTGCTGTCCAAAATATCAACATTACTGTCCTCAGTGTTCTTTATCCTTAAGATGTAAACTAAGTCTTGGCCAAAGACTAATTTTTCTGTAATGTCATGCATTGGTCAAAGTTTTGGTTTGACCATGTTCCTTCGTGAAAAACTATTAAATGATGGCATTGATCTTTTTTTATATATATATTTTACCATCTACACAAAAGGCTTTGTAAGTCTGAGGAACACAATGTTGAGCTGAATGATTTTATTGGCCTTGAACATCTTTTTGATCATTTATGGGGCTTGTACTACCGTACATAGAAAAGTAGTAACTTGAGCCATCTGTTACTTTGACTAATGTGGTTTCTACTTAGTCCAGTGCAATTTGGTTTGCCCAAATTTGTCATTTAAATTATATATTGTCTCAGTAGTATTCCATAGTGTTGCCTCATTGTAGGTAAGTCATCACAGTACAGCCCCGACAAGGTCTACCAAGTACGTAAAGTCATAAAACACTCATCATTCCATGCCAGTTTCTAAAAACACCAGGCTGAGTTGTGACCATCTTTTTCCTCAGACAGTTTGAGTCCATTTGGTCTAGATCAGTCTGAAAAGTCTGCAACTCCAGTGGAACCATTTTAATAGCTGTATTACATGTTTTTAAAATGAATGCTGCTGTTGTGAGGTTTTAAAAAAGTGGGTTTGATTATTATAAAGGAGATACTGATTGACTTCTCACAATGGCCAGTCTATGGGTTACAAGCTGCTGCCGTTAAACCTTCAGCTCGACTTGGCTTGCTAAGATCAGAGCGACGAGTGAGTGAGACCACCCACTGGAAAGACTTGGAACATGTACCAGGTCAATCTCTGTAGGGTTGAGTCAAACCCATGTAAAAAGGACAGTATCCATGTTAAAGCACTATCAGTGATTTTTTTAACATGCCAAAGCTGCTCCATGAAACAGGAACAACCCTATACTATATCTAAGATGATTTAGAAAACCAAAAACCAGCCCCATTTTCACCATGAGTAAAAGGTTTTGATTTGTTTCCCCACAAGACACAATAAGACCAGAAAAACAATGAAATTAAACAATTTATTCAACAAAACATGGACATTAAAAGCAAGGCAAACTGAAACAAACCCTAGGCGTTCAAAATCTTTTGATCAAAAGTAATCAATATTTTACAGATATGGAACAAGCGCATTCAACGTGGGCTTTAAAGTGGAGGAGAAAGAGACACTTCCTGTCAAGGGTCTTACATTGTACATACGTTTTAAACCGACTTTGTTTAAAAAAAAAAGGGGGGGGGGGGTGTCAGGAAGACAAATGCAACCTGACAAAAGGAATACAATTCACAAGTACTATTTTTATATTTGTATTAAATGTCAAGAAACACAGAGGATGTGTAAAATTTTTCAAAATAAAACAAAAACCCATTAAAAACTGCTTTCTAAGTGATATCTGGCTGCCATCTAGATTAATAAATCTGATGAAAATTCGATGAACCACAACTATCCTCATCCAGCCAATAAAACTGATGGGTAAATAAACAACAACAAATATTTCTCCACTCATTAACAAGTGTATTTTAGGTTCATTCGTTAAATAAGCCACAACATATTTGTGGTTCACCTTGTTTTTAAGCAGCGATGTGTCAGGTTCAGGGTAAAGACGGGCGTGCGCTTCCACTTCTTCCTCCACAAGATATCCCAGCTTCCCCTGTTGAGCAAAACGGCCACAATGTGCAATGTTAGCAAAGRTCCCACAACAACTACTGCTACACAACTGTAATATTTACTAGCCAAACATATCGCTCAATTTAATCATGGAGGAAAGTTTAACTCTTCCAGAACAATTGCCAATTATCCAATAAACTCATAACTCAAAAACAAATTCTTAAAAAAAATTAGCAATCTAAATTCCATAAGATCTTATGTTCTGAATTTGTGACAAAAATATGATATTCCCTTTGCCATGTGAAAGAAAGCCCCTAAATCCACAGAAACACCCAACTAAAGAAATGTGACTTAAACAGTCAAATAAGGCTATCATATGCATGTCAGTGACAATTGTAGCTGATGGCAAAAGGTATATCAAATAGGTTGTCTCTGATAATTCCATTAAATAACTCTCCTCCTCCTTACAAAATATAAAAGCAAAGATGACAAAGAATACACACAAGCTTTCAAATGCATGATCTAAAAAAGTACATAAATGCTTTTTTTTCCTGGCAGTCAACAGCATTCAGAAATGGATGTGGGTAGAGAAAGGAGTACCTGGGGTGAGTACCTGCACAGTTTGACAGTCAGAGTATCCAAGATTTTTAATTTGCCCTTTTTCTCATGTGGTCTCGCTCACAACACCAACGCTGTGTGAGGTATGGAAGTCAGCTGCAATTCATTCGATAAACCCTACCCTCCAGTTAGTTAGTGTCCTTGGGCCCCGTGGTGCTATAAACCCTCACCCACCCCCCAAACACACAGTGCATGGCATTATCAGGCACATTAAGCTGGAGAATAAATCCATGGCATTTGAGTTAGAATTATGGCAAAAATAAAGTGCTTGTTTTTCAAACACACCTTAAACTGAAGGCTAGGCTAAATGTGTTCATGTATTAACACATAAGGTAGAGAATTTTGCATAACATCATATATATGTAAATATCATAAACATATAAACACACAATGACTGAACTGCCTCTCTGAAAGGCGTGTGCCAAACTTGTTACATTTTCCTGTTACAAAACAAGAAAATAAATGAATTAATCAAAAACAGGTAAACACAGCTGCTTTTTGTTTGGATCTAATACTTTGCCTTCTCTTCTGCCATTTTGTCCACAAAGTGAAATACACATCTGTAAGGGTCAAAAAACCGATACAAAACGAGGGGTACCTCTGGGCATGTTTGCTCAGGGCTACACTGGCCTTTCCCTCTTGGCTTTGTGTGCATGTTTGCTACCTTCTTCTCATTCATCGGGCCTAGTCCTTCATCTTCAGTGCATACTTACGATGCACTAATCAAAAACAGGATAAAGATATTTGCATAGAGTACATAAGACAAAAATCAGAGTCATTGAACTGAACATAAACAGGGTGGAAAGGCTGGGACGGGAGGGGTGGGAAGGTAAAGGGAGGAAGGAGGGGTTTGGAGGAGGGGAGGGCGAGAGGGTGGGTTGAGAGCCAAGGGAAGTGAAGAGGAGGACGCACTTACCTGAGCCTGATCTGAGGTCCTATCAGATCAGTTTTAATTGGACTGAGTGTCACCTTCAGATTGGAGGAGCTCTTGCTGGCCGTTAAGCAGAGGGGTGGAGGCAGCTGCCTCAGTCTGCATCGGTTCTGGATCTGATGAAGCCTTAATGGCAGCTGCATCACTTTCTGTGTGCTTGTCTTTCTTAGAACTGCTCTTCTCCTCTGTTCCCCTACGGTCTGACGAAACATCAAACACATATTTCTATTAGATTGATCATTCAGATGCAGAAAACTGTTCTGATACAAAAAAGGAAATACTGGACAAAATGATCAAATAGGTTGAATTCTACATGTAGATTCAAAAGAACATAAAAAAATTCCTTCCTACCTTTGTCTTTTGACGACCGCTCTTTATCTTTCTCCTTTCCCCGGTCTCTGTCCCTGTCTCGTTCTCTGTCCTTGCTGCGGCTACGACTGCGGTGGCGGTGGGACTTGCGCTCGGCGCTGCGGGACCTCTTTCTGTCCCGACTACGGGAGCGGCGTTTTCTGTCGGAGCGCTCTCGACTGCGCCTCCTCTCCCTGTCCCTRTCTCGGCTCCTGGATAGAGGAGAACAAATTATTGTAATGTTAAAAATTGAGTATTAGTTCTGTCTTTTCTTCAACAATCTGCAGGGTCATTGTGGTGATGCACAAATGTAATGCAAATATGGGACTTAGTACAACTTTTATGTTTTGAGGTGTATGACTAAATTTCTACCAACAATTTTTCCTTACAGCAGAACTATTTGCATACATTTAGCATTTCCTGTTATCAAATTAACAAAGTCAAGTGAAACTTTTTAGAACACTAAGGGATTCACAGCTTTCTGAATGTTAACTGATAGGCTGCTGTACTTTGGTTTAGTAATATTAAAGTTCCATAAAAATTACATAAAATTACATTTCAAGATGATTGTATCCTTTTGTCAAAAGCAGAAGACAGCCAGTAAAATTGTGGGGTAAGGGAGAAAAAGGGAGACAGTCCAACACACCTGCTGCGCTTGCGTTCCCTGTCCCTGTCTCTGCTCCTGGACCTGCGGCGATCGCGGGACCTGCTCCGTTTCTTCTCTGATGTTCGGCTGGAGTGACGGCTGTTGGAGTGGCTTCGTCGCACCCTCCTGTCCCTCTCACGATCTCGCTCCCGCTCTCTGTCGCGCTCCCTCTCACGCTCCCGCTCCTTCTCCCTCTCGCGTTCTCTCTCCTTTTCTCGTTCCTTCTCTTTCTCTTCCTCCTCCTCTTTGCGCTTTTTCTCCCTTTCCTCCCTCTCACGCTCGCGCTCCTCTCTGTCCCGTTTGAGGGCTGGGTTTTCACCCTGCGGGTCCTCAGAGCGGCGCCGCAGTTTTTCCTAAAAAAAAATTATATTTCTTATTAAGAAAAAACAGCAGACTTCAAACAGTTCAGATGAATTATCTCATGTAAAAACAATCACACATATCTGTTTTTGTTGATCACCTCTACAAACGAAGATTACACAATTCATAAACAAATGATAAACTTGTGATCTTACGTTCAGCTCCTGTACAGTAGATTTTATCTTGGCATAGCCCATGTGCTGCTTGCCCATTAGGTGGTCATCCACTCTGGACTGCGCGTCACCCACAATGAGGAAGGCCCCACAGACTTCACACACCTCCATCTGTTTCTCCTGAGCTGCAAAGCTTTCAATGGTCTGAAGAAAACACAATATTGCGTTAATCTCACACCAACAACAACTAAATAAATTATATACTTAACAGTTTTCCCAAATTAAACAATTTTCTACTAACTAAAAATAAAGATACTGACTTTGGTTACAAACATTTTCTACCAGTCATCTTATTATTTTAAGTTATATTGAATTGTTTTGATAGAATAACTTGTGTTTGTAAGGAGCATTACAGAAGTAACACCTCCAATCCTGAACAGTGTCTGCAGGCTGAAAGATGTTGGACTACTCACTGAGGGCGTGGAGCTGAGCATTTCCCTCTCTTCTTTGAGCTGTTCCACCAGCTTCATCATCCCCTGAGCCTCCTCCACGCGACCCTCTGACCCCAGCTCCTCAATCTGTGCAAAAGCAAGTGCAGCAGGTTAGTTTTGTAACAAAACAAACTGAAATCCTAGATTATTTCAAAATACAGCTGTGCAATATGTTAGCCTGCTTAGACAACTGTTTAAAATTACTAAATAAATAAGGTCAGCGTTTTTTTAATTACTGCAAACTGTATTACATTACATGCAAATACATTTAAACTGGAAATATTTACTTGTTTGAATGCCTTTAGAAGTATGAGCATTTTTAAAAATGTCTTTTGAGGGGGTAAAGTTGGCTGGAATAAAAGACTTATGGTAATGTTTATTAACACTGTAGCCCTTTTCTATGTCTTCAAACTGTGTCGATATTAAATTATAAATGTAGCAGGAACAAACCTGAACAACCASGTCTTCAATCTTCTCTGTTAAAACATTGGCCTTCTCTTCATTCTTTCCTGATGGACCAGGACCCTGGAAAAAAAAACATATTTCAAACTGAATCAGTGTTTTTTTCTCTCTCTTTTGAGTTTATGGTGCCATACATGTATAACATTTTCATCAAAATAACATCACAAACCCCTGAGCTCTGCTGAGCCTGGGAAAGTGCAAGCCGAGCATGCCCTCTACGAATCCGCCGCTCCACTTCAGCTAGGAGGGACTGCAGATACCGCAGGAAGTCTCTCTCATAGCCCTCTTTCATAAACCGAGAGCTCTTCTCATACCTGATATAAAAGAGACGTTTTGTTAGGTGGAAAACATGAAGCAAATCAAGTTATTCTTATAATCTCAAACTGTTCTTACGTTTTTCTCAAATTTTCATCATGAATTTTTTCACAAGGACCTGAAAAACAATAAAAAACTCAGTTATTTTAAAGTTAAACCAGCTGTTTACAGAGTATAAATTAGTAATCAACTTACCTAAATCAGAACGCGTGTTGGTGAACAGCTCAGCTGGACAGAAGCCACACAGATAATATCGACAGACCTAAAAGAAATAAAATATAGTTTGTATTAAATTCTAGTTTTATAGTTGATTTATCAAGCGTTTAAGAAAGAATAACTCTGTAAAATGAGTGAAAAAAGCAATGTATGACTTATCAGAGCTTTGCCGTAGTATCACTACTTTCAAAGTCTTTTTTATCTGAAGGGATGCTTGACTTTTATACTATTTTATAAGAAGTGAATGAGTTCATAACAAATTCATCAACTTAGTTTTGTTTAAAACGGTTGTAAAACTATAATTTATCGTAAATTATGTACCAGGGACTGACGAATACCCAAACACAAGAAATCGTGAAGACTTTATATTGTAACAGTTCTAATGCTAATCACATATTAGCCAGTCATAAGTAATCGTTACACTGAGTTCTACTGAACTAGCTAGCTGTTAGCAAATGGGTGTTATTTCCGCTAGCACGCATGTGTCGTCCTCTAAACATCCGCTGTACGCACTCATTTCTCCACCGATTAAAAGTGACGCGTACCTAGATAAATTAGTTAGCTGACTGCTGCATCCATTGGAGACTGATATTAGATTGCACAAACATCATATTGGCTCAACATATCAACAACACTGCTAATGATAGCTCTAATGCTAACTTACGCTCTCGTCGTCCCATCGAACGTTGGACCGCTTCTCGTCAGGGGCCAAGTTTCTGTCTCGGCCCATTAACTCATCGAGCAACTGGGCAGCAGAAAGCATATTCTCTTGAAAGAGTGTATGCTAATTCAGTGAACTGCTATATAACCAGACAAATCACTCAACAGTAGACGCTGCGCTAAGTAATTCTAACCAAAATGGCAGACGCTGTACAACGCCCGCTCAGCAGACCACAATGAGATGAACCGGAAGCACTAGTGCCGATGCGCGGAGGGATACTTCTTCTTTTTCTTCCTGTTCTGTGGGAGGGATACATTATTATGAAACATTCTCAGTGGTCTATGGTTGGTGTTAAATGTTTAACAATTTTCTAATTTCCAAAAGTGTGTGTGTATATATA